CAGACGGTGTGGATGTCTCCCCTGTCCTCGTGTCAGACGGTGTGGACGTCCCCCCGGTTGTCATACCAGATGGTGTGGATATCTCCCCGGTCGTCATGTCAGACAGTGTGGATGCCTCCCCTGTCGCCGTGTCAGATGGTGTGGATGTCTCCCTTGTCGTCATGTCAGACGGTGTGGACGTCTCTGCGGTCGTCATGTCAGGCGGTGTTAACGTCTCCCCTGCCGCCAGGTCAGACGGTGTGGACGTCCCCCTGTCGTCGTGTCAGACGGTGCGGACGTCTCCCCTGTTGTCGTGTCAGACGGTGCGGACGTCTCCCCTGTCGCCAGGCTAGACGGTGTGGACGTCTCCCCTGTCGTCGTGTCAGATAGTGTGGACGTCTCTCCTGCCACCATGTCAGGCGGCGTTAACGTCTCCCCTGTCACCATGTCAGGAGGCGTTAACGTCTCCTCTGTCACCATGTCAGGCGGCGTAAACGTCTCCCCTGTCACCATGTCAGGCGGCGTAAACGTCTCCCCTGTCGTCATGTCGGTCGGTGTTAACGCCTCCCCTGTCGCCAGGCCAGACGGTGTGGACGTCTTCCCTGTTACCATGTCAAGCGGCGTAAACGTCTCCCCTGTCGTCATGTCGGTCGGTGTTAACGTCTCCCCTGTCGCCAGGCCAGACGGTGTGGACGTCTTCCCTGTTACCATGTCAAGCGGCGTAAACGTCTCCCCTGTCGTCATGTCGGTCGGTGCTAACGTCTCCCCTGTCGCCAGGCCAGACGGTGTGGCCGTCTCCCCTGTCGTCATGTCGGTCGGTGTTAACGCCTCCCCTGTCGCCATGCCAGGCGGTGTGGCCGTCTCTCCAGACAATGTCGAGGCATCCCCATTCGGTATGTCGGTCGGCGGCGTAAGCGGCATCCTCCATCGTGCGTCGTGTGCCGTTGTCCACCGTCTCCGTTGTTGGCGTCGCTGGTGAAATCGGTCGTGCTGTGGGCCGCCTCCATCCACGTCGCACGTGGCAGCACCTCGGTCGGCGTCGCGGACGGCGCCACATGCTCCGCCGCCGTGAGGACCGCGGTCGTGCCGAAACACGGCGGTGGAGGCGACCTCGGATGGGCGCGGGGTGGTCCGCTGGGGCGACGACGCCGGCGGCGGCGTGGTGGTGATAAGGGTGAGTGACGAGGCGGCGATCTGCGGCCGAGAGGAGGGCGCCGGCGCGCCGGCCGATGGTGCCGACGCCGACGGCCGACGCTGGCGTCCAGCCGCTCGCCTCGGCTCGGCTGTGCTCGCGAAGGATGGCAAGATCTCGGTTTGTCGTGGCCCGCCTCGGCAGACGCCGTCGTTCGCCGTGACGTTATACCCACGTGAGGCGTGGTCTCACGTACTCCGTGGCGACGATGGCAGTGCTGGTCACGGTTGCGGTAGTCGATGGTGACCACGTGGTGCGAGTGAAGGCCGGCCACGCGGCGCCCGCCGTGTGCCTCCGGTGCCACGCAGTACGTCCCGTTGGTGGTCGACACGCACTGGCAGAAGCGGCCCGAGGTTTTGTGGCGCGCACTCGCACCGGAAACTGTTTATACCATCCACACATACGCCACCATGTAGGCATCTGGAAAAGACACGACATTGACCAACGACCTTGGCGCGACTTGACACGAGAGACATGACCCCTGAGTTGAAGTTTTGAGTCGGCGAATATGTCTATTTAGACGTATTTATCGTAAAGCTGAGTTCGCCTGACTTGCCTTCCATTGGAGCTGATACATCATCCATACCATACAGCAGCACGTACTACGGTTTTTTTTTGCTCTGCGTTATCTTTTTTCATACAGCACAGACTTTTTTCTGAAATCAGGGCACAGCACCGAAATATTTCAGACACGCCCGTGCGACCGCCTGCTCTGCTATCCACTGGACCCACCCGGCCTCTCCCAAACTCTGCGAGCCCCCTGACTACCCCTCCTCTGCCGCGCTAGCCGACCTGGGCTTGGGCAGGCAGTCGTCGTACTGAAACTGGCAACGGTCGCCGTGGAAGTCGGGCCGGCACAGGCAGGCCGGGCCGCCACCGGTCCGCACACACAGCGCTCCGTTGTCGCACACGTTCTGCTCGCAGGAGCGCAGCGCTGTCTGGCAGCGGTGTCCGGAGAAGCCTGCCGTACAACATCCGAGGCGTCGTCGGAAGGGTAACGTCGGCGGAGGGGTCATCATTGCAGGGTCACATCATCAGAGGCGTCATAAGCACGGGGTCATCAGCACCTGTGTCATCAGCAGAGTCAGCAGCCGACTGAAAAGGGCGAAATTAGAGAGGCGTCTTCAGAAGAGTGCATCATCGGCATTAGGGGAAGCCAACAGGGGCACCACCAGAAAAGAGGTTATTAACAAGAGTGTCATAAACAAATGTCATCGGCAGTTTGCATCCACTGAGCGCCGTTAGCAGAGCATGGTTCATAGCGAGTTATCAGCGGAAAGTAGCGTTCACGGAAATGTACTCCATTGAGCCGTGATGGCGTCCGTCGAGCGTCAGTGAGCCTTGTTAGATGACAATGTAGCACACAGGCGGTATCATTCCCACTGTCATAAGGAAACGCCACGGCTCCGCTGCTTTTGCTATGCGTAGTCACAGCTGTAGCAGGCTTCATGAGTCCATCAGCCGACTCACCAACCGAGCAAGAACATCGGAAGCCATTTATCTGGTCGAAGCAAGTGCCACCGTTTTTGGCACGGAGAGGAGGCGCATTCGTCCACATCCGTCAGGCAGGTCGCCCCCGCAAACCCTGAGGGCATTGGACGGCACACGGCAGGTCAGCGTCACCGTGCGACTAGAGCAAACTGGCCCGTGCCGTTAACGAAATCGCGAACGGAAGGGCGCTGTGACGTGAGCTCTCACACCATCACACGGCACGCCCTCCTTGACATCTGCAATACCCACATTACATTGTCGATACTTCGGGCGCAAAGCAACTTTTAAAGACACCTTTCGTCTTACTATCGCTGTCGACACTCCATCCCTTACTTCGTCTGCTGGGGAGTATCAGCCACACGGTCATAGCGTGCTCAATATGTGCGCTGGATATGTGCCTGGATGTCAGTGTATTGTCACGCTGCCTCCCTCTGCCAAGAAGTGCCAGTCATGCTAGCATATCCCCGCTAAATAAACACATCACAGATAAGCCCGGAGTGCCAAAATGTGCCGGCCAAAGATCTCACCCAGGGAGACATTTTGAAAGTGCCCGCACCGTCCTGCTCCATCCCGTCTCCACCTGGGACTAACCTGGCTGACACTGGCAGCGGTATGTGTTGGCCAGGCCGTCGCGGCACAGGCCGCCGTTGTGGCAGCGCACGTGCGGCGGTGACACCAGGCGGCACACGCTCACGTCCGTCTCGCAGCGGAGGCCTGCCGACGACAGCGGTCGCGCGTCGGACGCAGCGTACTACGGATTGGGACGGCGGCGCCGATCGCCTGGCCGTGATTACAGAAGACGGCCGCGAATGCGTCGGCGTGTTGCGGCAGCGGTGATCGGTCACAGCGTTCGCAATGGATATCTTGTGAGCACAGGCGGCCGCGAAGTCAGGCTGGTGCCGGAGTGAGATGGGGGTGGCACTTCGTAAATGCGGTCAGGGACTGGGCGCATGGTGCGAGGCATGATCTATCGCAGAATCTGGGCTTCCATCGACTGATCGACATCGACATCGACATCGACATCGACATCGACATCGATTTCGACTGATTCACTGGTACACCACATTAACAGGAAGGCCTTTTCCAAAATGTTCTGTTAAATGCCGTTCCGCGGCTACAGTCCTGGGATGAGTCTCATTATGGTTAAGGGGTACGCAACTCATAACTAGAGCCAGCGGTAGACATTTCAGCCAGTTGCAGATATCATAGGTAACCAGTTGCAGATATCAGGCGTGGAATAGGAGCGCGCGCAATTCCTGACGCGTTCAGTTCAGGCGTATAATAGACATCCAAAAACTTCCTGAATTGCCTCCTTCCTATTCCATGGTGTGTACATAACCGCAGTGACTACCAGTTGATAGAAGGCCCATAGCTCTCTCAGGCATTCCGCTCAAAATTATTGCAACATTTGTTTGCGAACAGCTGAGCTCATGTCCTCATTGCAATGGTATTACCAACCCTGCTCAATATACCTACGGGAAAGATCATTTTTTTCTGAGGACATTGCTCGACGCTGGCGGAGAGCTGGTGAGGGACATCGATGGCAGGGAATTATCTTCGATGACAGCTGTCGCCTCACCCAGGTCCTTCGATAGCAATGATTATGATTTGCTTATGACAAAGCATCAATGATTTGCTTGTTGTTGATTTGCTTATAATGCTTATATTCATTTGTTTATTTGCTTATTTTGATTTGCTTTTGACAAAGTGTCAGTCAGCGATACGGCATGGACCCTGATTGGTGCAAAGGCTTTTCAAGCGGTCGGAGGCAGGCAGTGCGTGTAGGACTGACGACCACTACCAGTAACCCACAGAGTGCCTCCGGGATCCGCAGTCGGTTTGATATCGGTCGCCCTATTACCAAACGACCTGCCCAGTCACCTGCCACATGGACGCCTCGTGTCACACGCAGCCCCTGTCACACGCAGCACTCAGCTCCTGGCCCACGCGCCACCCAACGAAACGGACTGGAGGCGATTTGCACATTCTGACACCGAGAGTAAACGGCGCACGTGGACGCTGCATATCCATCTGCAGCACGCAAATAAACTGGATCAACAGAGACGCGCACTTCACCGGAGATTGCAGAGGAAACGCCAGCGCTTACCGCTGAAGCCGGGCGGGCAGAGGCACGCCGTGCCGTGAAGAGCGCGCACGCACGAGGCGCCGTTTTCACAGCGGGCCTGTTCGCAGCCGGCCACCGTCAGCTCGCAGCGCTCCCCTGCGGCGCAGAGCGGGCGACATTTGAAACTCACGGCATGGTGGTCGCGGGTCATCCTGTGCGGTGGTCAGCTCGTCGTCTGACCTGTTACCGTTCAGATAGGATGCCAAGAAAACAGAGCGTCAGTGACAGCAGCGACAAGCCGAATGCAAGAGGTACGGTAAATACTGACCTCGCAGGGATGCTTGCCGAGTACTAGGTGCTCCATATTATGACTAGATGGGCTCATCGCAACGGTTCTGACCAGCACGCAGCCAGCCGGCTCTCAGAGAACACCAACGGCACCTCATCACAACGGCTCTGACCGCCACGCAGCCAGCCGGCGTTCAGAGAACTCCAGCAGCACCTGATCACAACGGCTCTGACCACGACGCAGCCAGCCGGCTCTCAGAGAACTCCAACAGCATCTCATCACAACGGCTCTGACCACCACGCAGCCAGCCCGCTCTCAGAGAACACCAACGGCACCTCATCACAACGGCTCTGACCGCCACGCAGCCAGCCGGCTTTCAGAGAACTCCAGCAGCACCTGATCACAACGGCTCTGGCCACGACGCAGCCAGCCGGCTCTCAGAGAACACCAACAGCATCAAACACCAAATACGTGTCGCGTGCGTTATCCGACGGTACGCACGAGTGTCAGCCATACCACGTCACCCACTCATCCTACAATCTTTTCCCATTTGACTTTCTGACGCAGGAGGTAATGGCTGCGATCACCTGACACTTGCGTTAAGCTCTCGGCGAAAACTGGGGCCGAAAAAGTGGTCCACACAGCAGCTTGAATGATTTATGGTCGCGTGTTACACGCCGCGTTCGAAAGTGTGTCGCATTCTTCCCCCGCCGCAGTGTATCGACCCCACCAGCGACGGCTTCTGCATGATTCACTGGAACCGTGCACCCAGCTACAAACACAGGCGGTGACGTATTTTCTGCTTTGAAAGTTAGGTGAAACGTTTTTAAAAACATTTAAACCAAACTTTCCAAGGGATGGGTTTCTGGGGATCAGAGTTCATGCTAAGCAATGCTTGCGTGAGCCCTGGCCCATCCAATCCGATCGCGTAATTTCAGGTAACAGCAGAATCTGACGGCGAAAGCTTAACATGCCACAATGCTCGGCCAGGTCTGTCCTATCCTCCGACGTCCCTGACCTTGAGCGCGGCCGCTGCCACCGGCCGCAGGCCAAATCTGTCGAGGACAGAACGCGAATGCCTGAGGCGACTTAAAGCCAACCCACCGCGGGCTGGTGGGATCAGAGCTCACGCTCAGCAGCGCTAGATGTGCGAGCGCCGGCCGCTGCCATCCGATCGCGCCATTCCAAGTCAACGGTAGACTTTGGTCCCGAGAGTTAAACGTGCCGTTGAGGTCGGCACGGTCCGTCCTGTTCGCTGACGTCACCTGACCTTTGACGCGGCCGCCGCCGCCGGCCGCAGGCCATCCATACCTGTCAAGGGCAAATAGCGAGCGCCCTAAAGCGACTCAAGCCCACCTCGCCACGGGTGACTGGATCGGAAGGCAGGCGTTCTAACCAACTGAGCCATCGGGACGGAAACACTAAAAATAAAGTCTTTTTAATTGCATTGTCCCGACATATATGACCTACACAGACGCAGGGCCATAACCTGCAGGCCACGCCTTCTGCCGTCGATCTGTTCTACAAAGGGCTCTTGCAACTAGCGTTTCTGGATGATTGTTGTCCCGCATTTATGCCATACACAACAATAAGTTTTCGAAAATCTGCCCTATTTTTCCTGGTCTCCTGTTTTTTGTCTTTGATGGGCACTTCGTTTGATATGTTGTGAGGGTTCATAGAAATGCAGGTCATTTCTTAACGGAGCGAGCTTTTACTGGAAAAAATATAATATTCATAAAAGATGCGTATTTACGTTTGTACTGGATCACGCACCGTGCCAATAAAATAACCTCTCAGCAACGAAGTCGTTGTTTCAATTTCTGCACGAGACCGAATGCCGAGGGTAGGAAGTCCGTGGCCACAAAAGCCCTGGAAAATTACTCCGTCCCAAGTATAATGCGCTTTCTACCAAATGCTATTCTGTAATGAAGCATGAAAATCAACTTAAGGTTAATCTGGCAACACATTCTACTGCAATGCTTTTAATCTGGGAAAACATTTTTGACCTCGGACCAAAAGGGTGCATCAAATCACGCGGAAACGGCTATTCTGACTAAAACGCGGCTGAAATTTGTAGATACTGTTTCCACTGTAGTTGCTGTTCAAATCCTTCAGTTAGGTTGATTATTATTACGAGATTGACTCAGATTAGGTTGAGCGTTTGAACAGCATTTGATAGAAGGCTTACCACTCTCAATGCAACTCCATATCACACTTGGGCCAAATGAATTTTCCAGGGCCTTGGTCGCTGCGGAATTTCTACCCTCCATCGATCTCTCGCCTCGAGTAGAAATTGCAACAGCGACCTAGATCATGTAAAGTAACCTTACCATGTGGCAGCATATAATACCAGCTTATGTGAGCTCTCTGACGCGTTCGGCCGGTCTAGCGCGGTACCATGGTATCCTGTAGAGCAGGGCCTATAGTATGGCCCCGAGTCGCCACCCCGCCTCCGCGATCGCGCGTGGAGCGTGCTGCTCGTCGTTGGTTCCGCGGGTCGGTCGTCCACACCGTGCCTCCGTGCTAGCGCGGCCGACCCGTGCCTGACACGGCACCTGTTGGATCGATGGCGAGGAGAGCGAGCGCGAGATCCCCTGATAGATGAATGACTCTCCCGTACCGTCCCGCGCTCGACCCAGTCCCAGACCCCGTGCCCGACCCGAGCCGGACCCCGCGCCCAACCTGACCCCTATCCCGCGCTCAACCTGACCCCACACCCCGCGCCCGCAACGCACACGTACTCTGTGCATAGCTCTTTGCACACTCGCTGTATGCCATGCTAAAGCGAGATCTCAAGGCGAGTTGGTGCCAGGAAACATACGGATATAACGCACAGGTGCAGAGGCATTTGGAAAGTGGAACAGAATATCGCAGTGCGGAATATCTTCTCAACGCCGCTGGAAGGCAAAGTTACTGACAGGAAACGCAACCAGGACATCTAAGAATGTCCATGTTTGTGCAACACCTTTTGCAAATTTGAAAGGCCAACATCGAGCACTGTTTTTTGCCGATGCAAACGATCGACGCTGGTCACTCTGAAGAGTGCGGACGGCGTCAAAGTCAGAGCGACACGAGAAGTCCGACAGTCATTGCTTTTGCATGGAACACACCATGCGAATGAAGGTGATTCGAATGCATACGTCAAACCATGTGCACAGCAGCTCACCAGATCTGTGCGTACAACATATCAACACATCTGTTGTACACATGATACACTGACCAGACCAACAGTCAATAGATCACATGATACACTGACTAGATCAACAGTCAATAGATCCCATATTCTGGCACGGTATTCCCAACCGTAAACGTCCAGCGCCGACGGACCTGCGTATCCGGGGTTACAGGCACAGGAGAAGCCTCGGACGAGGTCTGAGCACGTGCCGCCGTGTCGACAGGGCGAGGAGAGGCAGTCATCGGCGTCCGCCTCGCAGTAAAGCCCAGTGAAGCCGTCCTCGCAGAAGCACTCGCCCCTGGCGAAAGACGGATGTCAGCAGCTCATGTGATCAGGTTTTCTGAGGATGCCTCTCCGGCATGGCGGGCGATGTCATGTGCGGTTTATAAGCCGTTGTGTTACATGTTATCTATTCTATTACGTGTTATGATTGCGCGACATACCTCTCCGGCGTGTCGGGCAATGTTATGTGCGATTTATAAGCCGTTGTGTTACATGTCATCTATTCTTCTACGTGTTATGATTGCACGACATACCTCTCCGGCGTGTCGGGCGATGTTATGTGCGGTTTATAAGTCGTTGTGTTACATGTCATATATTCTGTTACGTGTTATGATTGCACGACATACCTCTCCGGCATGTCGTGCAACCGCACCCAAACTTTAAGTAACTTATATGACATATATTGTGTGTGCTCTGACACCATTTACGAATGCCTGGTATTTTTGTTTCGGAGCAGTGGCGGTTTTTAGGGACACTGCACGGCGATTTACGGTCTGCGCGGGCGGCGGGCGACAACCGACGGTCCCACGGACCGGACTGTGGTGGGTCGATATTGTTACCATGGAGGGAGTGCTCCACACATGTATGAGGTTGTGAACTGAATTAACCTTCTTGAAAATCATTCTGTGCAGTTTACAGCCGTGTCTTTCTCAAGATCAAAGCTCTTCTAATTTCTGAGCTACACACTCGCGAAGATGTGCAGACTTTTTCGGGGAGACTATTCCAAGGCCACCCAGGCATTCATGACGCCATGCCATTCAAATCCTGTCATTACATTGGCCATACGGCGATCAAGGACAAGAGAAATATTATTGTCGAGTCGCTTATACCTGGTGCTTGTGAGCACCATTTCCAGCTATAACGGCCGTCAATTAGCTCGCAATCAATGTTGTGCAACGCACTGCGACGTGATCAAACAATGACATGCTGAAAGTATTTTTACTAAAAAAGAGCTTGTGCTGTCTAGAGGACCATTTTCGACTAAAAAGCACACCAATAGTTACAAGTGAGGTTATTCCATCAGGTATGGTACTTGCTTCAATGTCTTTAAATGTGGAACGTTCTTTGTAACGGAATAAATATATGCTCAAGATGCATAAATGTATGCTCAAGATATATGCTCATAAATATATGCTCAAGATACATAAAGCTATAAACCATTGTAAGCGGGCCTGTTTAGTTTTGGTTATGCAGGTCAAGCTGAAACAGCTCGATTTTCGGGACAATCTGACCATTGCCTTGGCGTAACGGGGCCAAATACTGACCCAGCAAAAGAAAAACCGAAGATTACCAATCGTAAGATCTCGTTCAGACATGTCCTTTGGTGTTTTCCGCTAAGCTAAGATAGATAGATCTACTGGCTTGGGAATGACAACGCCAAAGGCTTAAATCGTTACCCCTTCCCCTACATAAGTTCACGCTATGAAAATAATATAAACAGGATTGTGAGGGTTCTTGCGACAGTAGCTGCCTTACAGGGGGTGAATCTTTGTTACCAGTCCGCGAAATGATTCAGTGAGTGAGTAACAGCCCTGATAACGACCGGTGCTTCCCGTTATTCGGTGTACGGGCCCCTGCAAGCCATCCCCCCCCCCCCCCTCCCCCGGTTTCCGTCAGCACGCCATCCGTCTCTCCAAGATTACAGCTCCGGTAGTGGGAGGGACATGCCAGCTTTGCAAGATTGCGCACTGCAAAGCAGATGCGGCGTATTACTGCACTAGCAGTGCACTCACTGCAAGTGGAGAAGCCCAATGCACAGCGCAACGAAACACAGCCCCGAAATCAATCATGAATAAATGACATCAGGCTTCTGCGACGGAATCAAGCTGGGGCTATCTGGTGGCGTGGCCTGCTACTTACCCCAGTAGGGAGAGGTTCATCACAAAGAATCGAACCTCGTACCTCTGGCTTTCCAGACTCTCGATGAAACTTCTACGCCACCGTTGCCGGGAGTACCGATGCTCGCATACAACGATAGCTATAAGAAACCGGTGTCCAGTACTAAACATCCTTGGCCACTTCCAAAGTTGTACATGGTTTCAGGACTTAACTACGGATGAACAAGTGCTTGTGCATAGAGCACGTACGCAGTTGTCCGTACGCAAATGTACGTAAGATTTAAAGTTAGTATGACAAATACGCGTCCAAAAGGTGGTACACAAACTGTGCATACAGCATTAAGTAAGAGTGGGGAATCATTGTATTCAAAAAAGTTCTTCAGGACGGAAGTTCGGAGGAAAAAGTTCGCATGAAAATGTTTTATGCAGAAGTTCGTATGCGGCTGTTTCTCAAAACAAAAGTTCGTATTAAAAAGTTAGGATGCATATATGCATACCGAATTGTTCGTGAGCAATTAAACGTGCAAAAATGGTCCTAAAGGGTAGCGACCTGACAAAAGTATGTACGCAATTATCTGTAAGCAATTGAAAGCAAGCAAAAGGTCCCAACGGATAAAGATAGCTTGATTAAAGTACGTATGCAAAAGTTCAGGTGCAGTATAGACGGAGGAACGAATGTCCCGCGGTTTGGGAACCGGAGGCCGGAGGTCGACAAACTCGGTTTCTTGGCAACACCAGCTGCAGCCACTTGGGGACGCTGTAAAAAGTCCAAGGAGACACAGGAGCGTGTTGAAAAAGTTGTTCTGCTCCCGCGATCACAAGCGAACCCTCAACGCCTTAGCCAGCGTGGGGACGGAACGAGCCGCCAGCCCGACCGCCCAGTGCGTTTCATCTCCCGTGCCTTTGCCGCGTGTCTTCCCTTTTTCTGTGCGGAAGCAGTCCGACGGTCCGGCCCCCGCGCGCATTCCACTGCTCCGGCCCCGCTCCTCCTGCTGTTCTATTCCCTCGGCAGAGCGAAGGCTGCATGAGGGCAGAGGATCGGAGGATACAGGACCGGAGACCATCGGACGGAGCAGGAACAGCTGTTGCGGGGTTCAACTGCGGAATGGTTGACTTTCAATGGTGTTTGACCGGATTCTCAACCGCACGAATTTCGCGCCCGTTATGATTTTTTCGGGCACAGTAATGCCACGATAGCACGTTTTATTCAAATTCAGAACAAATACTCCTTCGCAGAAGAAGCTTTATCAAACCCGTAAGTGCGTAAATGATATAAAATCCAGATGTTTTTATCACGGTATTGCACACAACTAGACAAAACAGTGAAAATGGCAGTAGTCATCACAACAGCGCCTCCCACGACTCTCAGCATTTGGTCACAATGCGCTGATCTGTAATACGCGCCTGAGTGGTCAGTCGGATACCCTTCACTCGGGGGTCAATTTGATCCCTCTGAGATCTCAGGAGCTAAGGGGACTGGAGACACTAAATTCACAGGGTGTGTTGACCTGTACGTGAACTCACTGTAGACAAATTTTTAGGTTTTTAGGTCTTGACCGTCGTGTCAAAAAGGTCAAACAGGGGCAAACTCTAAGTTGGTCTCCAAAGTGTACCCAGTACATAGATACCTGTCCTGAGCAAAAAGCCACATACTCATTTAGGGCCAGTCACCTTATTTGACCTTTCGAAGGTCATGGTGACCAGAATCATAGAAAACTGCCTTGATTCTCGCGTGTGAATAATTTACAAAGATTATGCTGGGCAGTTTGTCCCTAAAAACGCAAACTTGACCTGGGTCATTTTAAGTCGGTGGCCTATTATGACCTTTAAGAAGTCAACGAAAGATGTCTTTTGGGTTCCTGTTCTCAGTCAATTCGAAACGAGCACCAGAAACTACCCCACACAGCAAGTCCTGGAGTAATAAAACACGTTGATTTTGACCTCGGTGTGACCTTCATATCTGGCCCTAGGTCAATGGACTTTGGTCATTCAATTGTTGTGTTGCCTAAAAAACACATGGGAGATGTATGGCTCCGTCTAACACTCCGTTGTTGCATCAGATTAAACGACTGCTTAGAAATGGACTTCGCTGAATCCATGGGCTGACTTAGACCTGCCATAGGTCAATGACCTTATACGGTGAATCGAATTTTTGATACCAAACAATCTGCTATTCAATTGTCTACAGTTATAAAAAATTTGGCGCCGCTACGTCATGTTATTCAGAAAATATTCCAGTATAACCTTTGGGGGGGGGGGCAATTTGACCCCCACCCGAGCGCGTGTTAAACGGACTGTGCGTGCAAACGTGAGGTGAGCACGTTGTTGCGCGGTGGGCATCGTCGTGAAGTCGGATCGTTTGGTGGGGGGCCTTGGATCGGGAGATAGTAGATCTTGTCCACCCACGCTTGTTTGTCCATGGACGATGAGGCCTAAGTTTTCTTAACCCCACATCGTGATCGTGGGATCTGAAAATGTTCAGAAGTTAATCTTAAAAGTCTGTTTTCTTCAATGTTGTAAGGAGACAGGCAGTCAGTGAGCCTGAAACTGACTAATGCGGGAGTGTCCAGCACACTTTGTTTTACCTCTGCTGGAGGCACGGGGTTTGATTGCTCGCGTTGCTCACGCCCTGCCTGCCAGGGTCCCCCCGCAGTGACCATTCATGGGACGCCTGGCACTAAGGATGAAAATCTGGCACCAAGCCTTCTAACGTGCTGTAAGGATCTGCATACAAATTACGAAGTTTCGGGTACGTGCTTTTGTCCAACGAACTTCATGCCCGACGAAATATTGCGTCCAAACTCTATACACTTACATTGAATAGCGAAATAAGAGCATCTGCATAAGTGTTTTTATCAAGGGAAGCTTATCTTTGACTGACATTGGCGCCCGAACATTTGAGTGCAATTAATTACTTACCGTTTTTTGCGTACGAAATTTTGCGCGTGCAAACACTTCTGTTACGACTTTTTCCGACAAACATTTTGTCATTTGAGTTTCATCTATGCGTAATTTACGTACGTTCATCACAAAATTTGTCGTTACGAACGGTGTGCCCTTCGAATTTCTGATGAACATTAGGCATGCAAATCCTACGAGCGGATGTCATGTACATTTTTGCTAATAGCCGTTTTTACGGTGGGTGGATACACTGGAAAGTTTTGGAATGTTTCCATGAAGCTCCATAGAACATTTCACACTCTGACAAGGAAAATGCCGCTTTCATGCAATGCCATTAACATACAATAGATAAACCACATGTAACCAACTAAGAAATGTTTGTTATATTAAACGGGACCCTTTACGGGCATTTCTTCAGCCATGCTTTTATTTCATCCAAACTCTAGGAAATACTAGACCTGGCAATCAGCAATGTGCATCGGTCAAGGACGTTGGATGCCGGCTGCCCCACTATTGTTTGCATCGGTACTGTGCGGAGCAAGGCGAGCTTTAAGGATCATTTTATTCAAGGACCACTCATCTTGGATCATATTAAGGTATGCAAGGCCTGTAAGTTCTGTAAGAACTGTAAGCGCTACTGCGCACCTGTGAACAGGAACGCTACAAGGATAAATGAATTTGTTTTTTCGTGTCTGCGTCAGAGATGGCACCGAATGTTCTGAATACGTTTTGAAAAGCTTCGGGATGAGATCTAGCATCATACCTGTCTATAAAAGCATGATCTTGCTTATGACCAGCTAACCGCAATTCCGTCGAATTTGGCGCCTAAACATTAATAGTGAACACAAATTATATGTCTCTCTTTAAATCTCTGCGAAACATTTCCAGCCGAAAATTGTTGATTAAGGTGTGCGATGAGAAAACAAATCTTGAAACGTTTTTCGATTTTGGTATGTGCTGCACCGTAATCCCTTGTGAACACAGCTATTCGTATTTTTGTCCACAACCCGTTGCACAAATGCGCACCGAAAGCAGTTGTCCGCTGTCAAACATTTTTGTCACAAGCTCAGGGCGATTTACCCTCCTTGCTGCTGATTGTCTGTCATGCGACTTAACGTTCGTAATGTCCTATTTCATATTGCTGACAACTGGGGAGTATTTTGGGCTCCCTCAGTCAAGCTTGTGTCTTCCGACACTGTCTGGTTCGTCATCACCGAAATCTGTAACGGTGGCCGAGCGCCTCACCCGTGCCCATCGTCGAGGCAGATTCCATGTCGGCACGTCTGCGCCGGGCAGAGATGCTGCAGACTACAGTTGGCCGGCGGCAGCTCCGGAGTGCGGTGCGGGTGGGGGTGGGGGAGGGGGCGGGCTGGACCGAGCAGCAGCACCAGCACCGGCAGGGCCCGGGCCGCCGCGCCGCCGCCCCAGGGCATCGTCAGATCATGACCCCGACGCAGCCGCCCGGGCCGGCTCGATGTCGTGCGTTGTGCGCTGCACGGCGGCGGGCGAGAAGCAGCAGCAGGTCTGGAACGACAGACAGGAATGAACGGGTATTAGTGAGACTCGCTGGATTTGTTAAGAACGCTTTGCTGCTTTTAATTAGATCTTATGCTAGCACGCTAAAAAAGCCGACATATTTTCTAAAAGGCCTTAACGCTTAATATGAGCAAGAAAGATGGTCAGGTTCTGGTTATTAGGCATTATGAGCTCAGAGTTCTTATGCTGAGTTACTGGCCTTCATTACGTCAAGAGGTACTGGTTGAAGGGAATGTTACACATTCGAAGGCTCGAAGCATCAGATATGATAATATAAACTCAATAATAACTATTGGTATGCTCGTAAGTTGTGAAGACTGCTCACGACAGAACGCTTTTTCTGTGTCGTAAATATGCCCCTCAATACGTCATCGTTTCATAGCGTCATCACGCTTTGCACACAATTTATTGAAAGCCAAATGACCGCTGTTATGTCTAGAGATCGTGCGCACGAACGCCAGGTATGATCGACACGACAATTATGATTATATTGACCTTGATTGCCGCGTGGCTGGTGTAATGGCAATATTTTATTGTCATCATTATGACGTCAGGGATGCTTGTGTGACCTTGAAATAGTCTCCCCGAAATACTATGCACATATTCGCGGGCGTGCAGCTCAGAAACTAGAGCGGTTTGGGTCTTAAGAAAGACAGGGCTGTGAACTGCATCGAATGATCTTCAAAGTGGTTACTTCAGTTCAAAACTCCATACAAATATTGAACACGCAATTCAACGACAAAAATAGCGAACATTGGTTTATTGGTAGTACTTGACGTTTCGAGCTCTACTCATGGTAGCGACCAATCTATGGAAGTATGAAGCTTTGAAAGTCCTAGATAATCTGATATTATCTTAGATAATCTTTGATCTTGTCTTAGGTGACCTTGATCTCTGAAAATCTTCGTATTTCTTAAGTCTTTGTACCACCGTCATCGTAAACACAGGTTGAAACGTCGAATGCTGCTTTCATTATCAATATTCGCTCTATAACGTCACTTAACCAGTACACTGAAGACGTTTTTCACCTTCGTCCTACCAAGGATGAGTGTTTAGAGGACCCCCAAGATCTCTAACATTAAGCGATCTAGGGTCGTGGCGCAATCGGCACTGCACGCTGTCATACTGCATCAAATAGGTGTAAAAGAGCAATGATGGATGCAGTCTTTAACAGCTAATGCCATGTAAAAGTGGTGGAATTAGCACTTTATAGACCTTCGCGTTATGTGAAAACTAAACAAGCTACATCGATTCGGAAGGCTACATTGAAAAGCTTTTGGAGAGTCCATTGGCACAAGAATACGACATATGTATCTTATGTCATCTCAAGTCTGGTCAGCGGGAAGAAGGATTCTGTTGTATTGGCCCGTGCGGCTATACCAATAACTAAAACAGCCGCCTTAATCCTCAGAAAGATGGCTTTATCTGGCTACCAGACTGGTGGAAGTTGAGAGAAAAGTCGATAAGGCCTTCAAACGCTGTAAGACATGTGCTGCCTTGATTAAAATCGTTTTATCTGCCAAAGAGTGCTGCATAAACTGACCTTGAAAAAACACCATTACGATACTCAGCAATGCGCTACGGAGGATTGTCGATAGGAGGTAGTCTAGGAGACCTATTTGGAGTTCATTTGCTACGAGGTATAGTGCTATTTGTCACTTCCACGTAAAATATCAACCGTACGACTTCGAAAAGAATGTCATAAATCAGAAAAGTCTCATAGCCAAACCATCATCTTGTGATAACATATGTAAGAATTATGTTAACTCAGCTAACCAATAATATAATAATAGAAAATAATAAAATAATACAGTAGAATACAATAAAAAATAATAAAATAATAAAGCGAAAACGTACTAAATTCAGTTTGGAAGCTATCACGGAAAAAACTTCTGGGGCGCCTCTGAGGGACCGCGCGTAGCGCGAGGGTAAAGGCTTTTGTCATTACTGATGCTGCTGGGGATGTTCATGTGCCGATTTTCAAAGAACAATTGGACTGTTCTTTCTTGGCAGGACGACGTGATACGCCATCTGGATGGTTTGCCACCCTGAGGATGGAGACCAGCCCCGCCATAGAGCCGATGACGACGGCGATGACGATGAACTGGTGGATTCCCCGTCACGTCAGACCTTTTGACCTTTCGGCACCCGCGTTGTTCCGCAGCATACCCCCTCTTCCCCATCGGCTGTGGCTGACCCAACGGCCGGTGCACACAACACCCTGTCGGACTTCCTAGGCAAGAGGCAGAAGTCCGTTCTTCAAGATCTGGACGATCACTCTGAGCATGGCCCGACTTGGGTCAAGGCGCTGTCGGCATTCATAACTGACTGGTGCGCCACGACGTCCTCCGTCGCCCCCCCCCCCCTCCCCCCCCCCCGTCACAGCCAGCCCTACGCGCAGCGTCAATTAGGTTAACGGAAAAGGGTTCGTCTGCGACGCTCTGACATTGCTACCAGGTTTAGTGGTAGCCAGACCCGATGCCTGATTGGACAGCTGTAGATACTGAGAAACGTAGCACAGCACAATCAGTTTTACATGCTATTCACACACATGATATGTACTTTTGCTTTTAATCATGGCCATAGTCGAGCATCTTTTATGGTTCCTAGCATGCATGTAGCCGTCCCACCAACTGCATTCAGCAGTGTTCTGCAACCACTACTGATTCTTTTTACCAAAACATTTGCTCCCATCTCAACGTGCGATTTTAAAATGCATGATCCTCTTAAGACACGATTGATTTCACGCTATCTGGGCTGGAGGAGTTTTGAATGCGGTCAACAGTCATGCCTGCGCATTAGCACCATTTTTTGGAAGATTTTATCCGAACCTTTTGAACCGAACGGACTTAGTGATACATGGCCAATTAGACCCTTGATAGTCTTCAAGAAGCAGCTCAGCACACCCAGCTTAGTACCATTCTCACATCTCACAACAAAAATGAAATCATTACTCTTATTGCAGACCAGGGGCGTCCTTTCCCTTTCAGTTGAGGAAGGTGAAGACTGATGCCCAAATGGTCACCAGCCCCCCCCCCCCTCCCAATTTGAGAAGAAGCTGGGCGAAATCTGAATAGTAACCCATTATTGGAATGTCCTAAAGGTAGGCTCTTTTGTTTGTCAGTGCTCAGTCCTCCCCCCACCCCCGACACACACCTTAACAAAGACACAGTTTTTCAAAACTACTACGTTGTTGCAGGCATGTCATCTTGCATCATGCCAACCTGCAAAGGATGTCAGCAACTGTCTGACAGTCGTAATTCGGTCTTTTCATTTAAATGCAAGGCAAGATGATTGGTGATATTTTGTACCTAGTTTCTGAATCCCAGGCTACAACACTACTTAGTTGACAATTTGGGAAGACTCCTTTTCAGTCGACAAAACCGTTGGTAACTTTTTGGCGCTGAAATGGTGAAGTTGCACCTCGATCTTCCACATGCCAAGGCAAAATCCGCACATGATTTACCAATATTTGCTTACTGATTTTTGGCATGTTTATCCGTGCATTAACGAAAATAGAGTGTTGACCACACATCTGGCTGTCACAACTCGTTTACACACAGGTCATGGACAAACCGAAGTCTCATCGATAAAACATGTACATTTCAGCTAACGTAAAACAAAACGTAGGTATCCCTCCATTTTACGTAGACACTCCTCCACTGCACCAGTTACCGAATGCTCATCAACTTTTCCCCAGAGAGCTTAAGTAGATGCCCCCCCCCCCCCCTCCCAGCTCAGGATGCCTTTCCGCGCTCAATACGTATTACACGCTTTGCAAGCCTGCTGTGTTTCTGGAGAGACACTGTTCCAAGCCTTTGCGCCTCGCGGTGGAAAGCGACCCCTAAGCCGCTTCAGTTCGAATGTGTGGCAAATGAAGCCCCTTTATGTCAATGTCATGCACAACGCCGATTGAGTATAAAGGCGTTGCTAGTTGAGCTGGCTCTTCAGTGGCCATGTGAGATTATACTGATGCTATACTGAGCTCACCCGCGCAGGTGCGCAGCCAGCATCTTTGTAAGGGGGAGGGGCACGGGGTTTACAAAGTGCCCCTCTTGGTAAAAGGCTCCCCACCTAAAAAATTACCAGATATGGCCAACTTGATTTTAAGGGGCACGATTCGCTTCGCTTTATTTTAATATACATCTTCTTTAATAAACAAGCCCGAAGGCACCAAAAGATTCAATACTTTTTTTATTTTGAAATAAATAAACTGAAGAAACGAAGCCTTAAATGATTACATAGGAAACCACCATCGCTTTTCATTTCGTAGTTGATCGGTGTTTTCTAAGCGATAATACTCGGGGCGAACGTAGGTGATAGTAAAAGTAGATGATAGTAAACGTAGGTGATAATGAACGTAGTTTGTGGATCAAAATGAAAATCTAGACTTGTTTCGACATGTCCAACTCCTGCTTGTCTGAGAACGTACAACCCTTTCCAGAATCAATTTGTTAAAGAATTACGTCACGTACTTTTGACCAAGTGTGCGCACAAGCCCTACCAAAAATCCTCATGCACGGCGTTGCAGTCTTCGTCGGTCGCGCGGCGTCGGCCCCGTAGGCAGTAGCCAGCAGGTGGACAAAAACGATATTGTTTCCGACAAAGTACCTTTGTACTTTTGAGGTCGTCAATTTTTACGTTTAGCAGGCAATCCATCAGTATTTCTCATTTAAACAATTTATAGACCTGTAATAGGAATGCATTGGCATTCAGCACATCAGGCAGGCGCTGGAATTTGGCTATGGAGCTGGACAATTTGAGATAGAATCTTTGCATTCGGGCTGCTATC